CTCCTTCTCTCCCATTCTATTGCTCTACCATCTTTAACTTGCAGATTCCATGTGGTGGTCCCCTCGAGCTGCAGCAATCATGTCTGTACTCAAACTGTCAGGGAAAGTGCAAAACAAAACAGCAGTAAGGCATGCTAGCCCTTTAAGACTTTTCCTGGATGAAGCCCATAGAGTTTTCATGTATATCCAAGTAGCCAGAATTTAGTTTTAGGTCCAACCCAGCTACCGTGCAGTCTTTATACCAAATACCCACAAACTCTGCTGAAACTTGAAAGTTCTGTCATCAGCTAAACCCCAAGACCTGAACTAACTTACTAACTGCTCACCTGCTCATATCTACTGACCTTCGTCCCACATTTTTCTCTAAGCTCTTCTTTCCAGTTTATCTCTTCACTCTGACAAAAGACCCTATAGGCAGAACATCCCATTAAGGAAGCCAAAATGGCCCCTCCAGCAATAATGACCATCCAGACCACCCAGACCAGTTTGAGCGCCCTTGCGCCCACTCACACCTGTGCAGACCCACCATGGAGAGACCTCCATGACTGAGAATGACCTTTACCTCCGCTGAAGAAGGACACAAGTCTCATTTACATAACATACAGTGCGTGTACAGGCATGTTTCCTGAAAGCACATGCATGACCTTATGCCTGCCTTTACAATGATGACAAGGCTTCCCTTTCTAAATATTCGTCCTAACTCAAAGTAAAAGAATCCATTCACCCTTGCTCGGGGAGTGAGGGCTTTGGAAGCTACTCTCCATGCTCTCTTTATTTGCTGCAAATAAAGTATCCTTTGTGCGACAACTGACCTTGTATAGTTTCTATCTGCGACTCACCAAGGAAGGAGGTCACATTAGTTCAGTTACAATTCTTTTACTACAGAAGAAGAGAATACTAAAGATTAGGGGATAATTAGCAGCTTCCCCCCAAAGATTCTCTTTCATTATGGAACAATTTTATAGTACTTACTAAGAACCAAGCACTGTCCTAAGCTTTTTTGTGGTCTAGAAAATCATCTAATCCTCATAGCAGCACTATAAGTAAGGCTCTACTACTCACATTTTACAGATGAGGAAAGTGTAGAGAAATAGAGTAACTTGCCCAAGGTTGCACAGCTAGATAATTGCAGAGCTAGGATTTGAACCAGAGAGTTCGGTTTAGCTGCTGTGCTATACTGTCTTCTCTATGCTATATTTCAGAGTATTTTTAGTTCTCTATATGAAGCAATGGAAAGGCTTTAACTACATAGGAGGATACTGTCTTTATAGTCACAGAACAAATGAGCAGGGGCACCTGGGTGGCTCAGTGGTTGAGCATCTGCCTTTGGCTGGGGTCATGATCCTGGGATCCTGGGAAGGTGTCCCGCATGAGGTTCCCCACAGGGAGCTTGCTTCTCCCTCTGCCTAAGTCTCTGCCTCTCTCTGTGTGTCTCTCATAAATAAACAAAATCTTTTTCAAAAAAGCAGAAGCTATAAGGAAAATATACCTATGAGCTATTAATTCCAGGGAGTCACTTATATTTTTCTTTTAAATACCAACATGAGTTTAACATATACGAACAGAACATTTGAATGCTCAGCATTTGGTCATCCAGTCATTTAATGAAGATGTATATAAACCAATAACAACACCACCAAGAGATGGCGTATCAAAGATACTTATATTTTGGCTCTACGTAAGCCCCGCTAAAATAACAGTAAGGAGATTCTTTTAAGCCATAAGCCCATGGGAACAAAAACAAGAGGAAAGAGAGTGGCAACAAAAATTGTAGAAGTTAGAAAGTAAATGGGCAGGTCGTAGACAGCAGATTCAGAGTTCTAGACCAGTCATGAAGAAAGCCAAAAAAGGCAATAGATTTACCCCCAGAGGACTCAACTCTTGCCTGCTCCCAAGTCTCTTCTCCAAAGCACCTAGAGTATCTTTTATTTTTTTAAAATATTTTTTTAAAGATTTATTTATTTATGATAGACATAGAGAGAGAGAGAGAGAGAGAGAGAGAGAGAGAGAGAGGCAGAGGGAGGGAGAAGCAGGCTCCATGCCGGGAGCCCGACGCGGGACTCGATCCCGGGGCTCCAGGATCACGCCCTGGGCCAAAGGCAGGTGCCAAACCACTGAGCCACCCAGGGATCCCCTAGAGTATCTTTTAAAAATGTAATTAAGATTACATTATTCCTCAGCTAAAGGTTTTCCAATGGCTGCTTCAGAATAAAATTTAAACTCCTTTCTGTAGACTACAAAGCTTTGCATGACACAGCTCCTGCCTTCTTCTCCACCCCAATCTGGGAACACTTTCCCTCTGGATTGATACGCTTTTACTACACTGGTCTCCTTTATTCTTTGAACATGCCAGGTTTGTTTCCCTATCAGGGCCTCTACCACTACTGTTTTCTTTTCCAGAATCATTTTCTGCAAGGTTGCCTCTTCATCATTCAATTCAGGATTGAATGTCACCTCAAGGGCAGCCCTGGTGGCTCAGCAGTTTAGTGCCACCTTCAGCCCAGGGTGTGATCCTGGAGACCTGGGATCGACTCCCACGTCAGGCTCCCTGCATGGAGCCTGCTTCTCCCTCTGCCTGTGTCTCTTCCTTTTTCTCTCTCTGTGTCTCTCATGAATAAATAAATAAAATCTTAAAAAAAAAAAGAATGTTACCTCAAAAACAGAATAAAACTAAACAAAAACCCTTTCCGGACCTTTCTATTTAAACCATCTGCTGTCTCCACCCATCTTTGCTTCTATTACAGCACTTATCATCCTCTGAAGTCCCTGTACATAGGAACTCCTCTGTCGTGTGTGTTTCTCCCTCTGTAAGGTTTATGACATACACTTGCTCTGCCTCATTTTCTCAAGTAGCCCCAGCACCTATGTATTCAACTCATATTTGTTAACTGTGAGAAAAAGGAAAGCAGCACCAGGCATTGGGAACTGAACTGGCACTTACTCTTAAGACTTCAGTGTTGTTAGGAACTGGCTGCGGTCTTCCTTTATAGAATATAACAATCTTACAGAACATCAACATGAACCAAAATCACTCTGTGATCATGATGAAGTGAGACAACAGACAAGATCACTTAATAATCTTACCTAAACGCAGATTGGAAAACAAAGTCATTGTGAAAACTACAAAAATACTAAATTTCCTCCTCTCCCATCTAGTAAAATCGTTGCCTCTTTAGCAATTATGGATTTGCCTTGCAATTTTCCTCTGTCCTTCTACATAAAATGTCATATGATACCTCATCTTACAATCACTTCTACTTCCTGACAGCACCCAAAACAGAATGAACCTCCCTTTCCTGGATCCTATCCCCAAATCACGTAATACATGCCCAAATTTTATACTAGGTCATTTCTAACACTGTTATTGAAATGATCCATGGTTCCCCGAGGTGTGTGTTCTCCCTCATTGCAGTGAGTAATACACCCAACTTTCTGGCTACAGGTGGGTTCTTGGTGGTCCAGAAGCCCACCAATATTCTCCAGCAAATATGGGGAATATTGGCAAACTGATGGAGAACACTGACAGCTGAATGGCCTTCACAATAGTTCCTAATCTAGGGGTAGGGACTCTGTAGCACCCAGTAATTTCTCTATTAATCGACTCCTGAACCTCTTTGTACCTAGTCAAAGAGTATTTCTTCAACCAAAGATGATCTTTGCTCCTCCCTCTATGCCTGAATAACAATGCTCCTGCCACTCTCACTTCATCTATCCTCTAGCCTTCTCAAAATAGGACAGGAAGAAAATCTAATTGTGAAAGCTGATTCTTCACACAGACTGCTTTGGTTAGCACTGCCTCCCCCAAAGGACAGGTGGTGTCCTTTTCTCTTTGGCGATTTTTTTCTTCACCTTTAATATGTCATGTGTTTTCTGTTGTGCCCAAGATTGCGAATCCGAGAAACCACCAAGGAGCTGACACCGATGCAAGTACATGAGGGTTTATTGACAAGCTGGATCTTGGGTCCAAGTATACTCCATACAGCAGAGCAGGGGCTTGGACCCCGAGACTAAGAAGCACAGCAGTGTTATAGGGGTCAGTGGCCAATGAGATTGTAACATACGCAGAAAGTTGCACAGTCATGTTGGTCCACATGCAGGTGGCCAATTGAATCACGATTCACCCTATAGTGACCATTTGAACTAGCCTATTATTCTGGTTAGAATTGGCTCGCAGGTTTGGTGGGCAAAAGAGGGGTTTTCATTCCTTGGCTGGTTAAAGGTCAGAGGTCCTGCATTCCTATGTGTGCTGGTTTCTGATAAGGGTGTGCTTAACAGCTAAACTAGGGTGACGGAGTGCCTGAAACAATAGGCAGGTCCTGTGGGGGGTTTTACATGAGATGGTGGGTGTAGCACAGAATGGAGTTAGTCCTGCCCTGCTTGTCCAGGGGTGGGGGATTTTTGTTAGATTCCCTGGGTCCCACATTTTCCTCCTTCAGTGTCACACCCCTACCCTTTCTTCTCAGTTCTCTAATCAAACTGATTTTGTTTTTCTCTTCAGAAATGTAAATTCCTGCTTTTTCCCTCCCCCCATCACAGGCCATGTAGACATGTACAACCCCCTGTCCACGTTCTCTTTAGGCTCGCCCTGTCTCAGGCACCTTCCAACATCACTCTATCTACAACCCCTCCCTGCCCTAAGCGCAGTGCCCCACTTTGCTTTGTCCTATAACCCCCCCCCAACCCAAACCGGGACCCACATCTGCTCAGTGCCCCGGGGCTAGTCTTCACGCCCAACCCCGGCCCCACCCAGGTGCTCTCCCCGCCCCACCCCCTTGCCCTGACCTGCCGCTACCCCACCTACGGCGCGCGGCCCGGGAGCGCCCCCTGCAGGGCGCTGAGCGTGACCCCCTCCCCGGCGGCAGCGCCTTGCCCCGCCCCCCGCCCCCGCCCCCCGCGCACCCGGTCTACCCGCCCCGCCCCCGCGGCCGGCGCCTCAGCCAATCCGCGCTCCGCGTCCGCCCAGGCTCCGCCCCCGCGGCCGAGTCCCACCCTCGCCCCGCCCCCGGCCCCGCCCCCGGCCCCGCCGCGCAGGCAGGCGGGCAGCGCCGAGGCGAGGCTGGTGCGCAGGAGGTGAGTGGGGCGCCGGGTGGGCGCTCGGGGCCGGGGCTCGCGGAGCCTGGCGGAGCCTGGCGGAGCCTGGAGGATCGAGGCCGGGCAGGCGGGAGGCGGCCGGAGGGGGTGCCTGGCCTGGCGGGATCCCCTTGAGGAGCCGGACTCGCGCTCGGGAGCCGGCGGCGTGACCCGGGTCGGGCCTCGGAGGGCCGCGGGGGCGCTGCAGGGCGTCGGCGCTGGAGTTCACCGTCCTCAGGACAGGACAGGAGGTTGGCCTCCCAGGGCGCGGGCCTGCACCCGGGCATCCAAAAAAAAAAGGCTTTGCGCCCGCATTTTACGAGTCTGGCATTTTGGAAACCCCGACTCCGCTTCATCCCTAACCGGGATCCTAATAAAGGAAACGGAGGCTGTTGGGCCGCGTCCGTGAACGTGGAAACTGAGGTGTGCGCGTGCGGCGAGCGGGGCCGCCCCCTCCGCCCTCCGCCCTCCGCCCTCCGCCGTCCGCCGTCCGCGAGGGCGACCCCGAGGCCTGCCCCCCCGCCCCCCAGACGACGTGGGCGGCTGCTCCCTTCCACCGCCGGCGCCCGCGGGGCAGGTGTCCCCTGGAGCTGTGCAGGAAGCTCGTCCCTTCCCCGCAAGCTCGCAGCCGCGTCTCCCCCTGGGCTCGTAGGTGTCCACGAGCCCGCGTTCGCCGAGCGGCCTTCCAGCAGGTCGCGGGCCTGCTCCGTCAGCCCGTGCGGGCCAGAGACGGCTGATTCTTTCCACACTTGCCCCAATGACGTGACTTTGAGGCTTATCATTCCCGCTGTTTCCCGCAGCCAGCACCTGTTCACCTTCTGGATGCCATCTGTTGCACCGGTGAACCTTACAAACATTCTAGAAGCGGACGGGCAGGGAGAGCCTAAAGGAGAAGTAATCTTTGCTCAGACTGTTAACAGCGTGGGCTGTGCGTTAATCAGCGTCAGCCTCTTTTTTTTTTTTTTTTTTTTTTGCAGTCACTCACCTTAACCTTCCTTGAGCTCCCGACCCACTCGAGTCTACTTAAGTGAACAGTATGCTCTGGAGTGAAAATAGCCACAGGAATGGTGCCAGGTCACTAGTTTCACAATTTGGAGGTGAGGTTCCCTTGGACCTCCCCACAGCCTGGTTCGAGACCGGCCTCCTTGTGGAGGACCCACTCCGGGCCTACTGCGGGGAGAGTGGCCACCCCGCCGTGACCCCATCAGTGAAAGAGGCGTGCAATAACCTTCTAAGTGCCTACGTGTGTGTGTGTGTGACTTATTGGGCGGCCAATTCCGGTAAAGCTGTCAGGATGAACATGTGATTCTTTCTTTTAAATGTTAAAGATTTTTATAAAGAAAAAAAAAATCAGATTACCTAAATCTCTTCCTACCTCTCCTCCTGCCTGTGCAAAGTGGTTATATTTAAATTGATCATTTGAGATTAAGGCCAGAGTTTCAAACTTGGTACAATTCATTTTGACTGTTTTGCTTACACTGTAGCTGTGGTTTCTGTGCCCCAACAATTCACCAGCCTTCTCAGCTTCTGCCACACATACCTTCTAGTATCTTCATCTTAAATAGTCTACTCCGATGATAAGAAATAGTTTAATTTTCTGTTGATCATGCATCTGTGGACATGGAACTGACCTTATTTACAATATGCCTTAATCCGGTTTAGCAGATCACCCCGATTCACAGTTGCCTGGTCTTCTTCACAGAGCATTATTTTTAAGGAGAAGCTGGAAAAATACAATGAAAATATTGTTTACAATAAAAAATCATATATGTTTGGGTTTTCTCCCAACTTTTCAATGACATCCAGATTTGTTAATCCATTTTTGTTATTCGTGAATATATGTATGGAGCATTAATTGCATTAGAAAGTACTGGTCAAACGTGCTTATGTAAATTGCAGAAAAAAAAATAGCTTCAGAGATTCGGAATCCGTAAGTCAGCCTACTTAGATATTTTTTGGAGCCTTTTTTTTTTCCACTGATGCCCCCACAGTTCTTCCTGCATTCAGATTGCTTAGTGAGAGAGTAATGAATGAGAAGAAGAGAGTCCAGATGTGGGTATTGAGAAATTCCATCATTTAATGGCAGATTAGAGGAGAGGTAGGAGGGAAATGAGGGATTACGGTATGTCAAAAGCCACGGGAACTTGGTGTTTCTGGGAGGAGACAGGGCTTGACAGGCAGTATCTGCAGAGAGCTCAAGGAAAGTGAGGGAATGCCAGTTCACTGGATTTAACAATATGAAGATCAAAATTGACTTGAGCAAGAGCTGCCTCTGTGGAGTAATTGGTACAAAAGTCAGATTGCACCAGGTTAAAGAGTGTATATTGAGGAAAAGAAGACAACTGATAACATAGCTTTGTAAAAGCTTTGCTTTCAAGAGAAAGTAACAGAGTTTTGATTTGAAGAGGAAATGAGCAACAGGGATGAAAAGGTAGAGTCAAGAGTATTACTTTTTGTTTATGTTTTGTATTTGTTGTTTTTTAACTAGAAGAGATGTGGGCAAGGAAAGCTGTATATACCAGAGAAAGGGGTAATAATCAGTGGAGCCAGGTCGCGGTAGAGCTGGGAGTGAATGAGATCTTAGTCATGAGAGGAAGAATTATCCTTTTGTGGGAGGGTCACTTCCTTTATTGTGATGGGAAGAAACAAAGGATTTGGGGGGTTTGGTGTTTTTGATTTGGGAAAATTGAAATGGTGAATCTGATAGCTTTTGTTTTCTCTGTGATAGGAAGCAAGGTCATCTACTTAGAATTAAGAGCTTTTAGGTTAGAGGAGTGTGGGAAAAATTAAAATAATCATTCTGGACTATGGGAGAGAAGTGTGGCCTATCCTTTGAGGGTTTCCAGCTGGGCCTGAGAATTAAACTGCTATAAGGCAGGTGACAGGAGAAGAGCACACACATTTAAGATAAGTTCTGTGTGACACAGGAGTCCTCATAAGAGAATGAAGACCCAAGGAAGAGGCAGAAACAAATGCTTTTTTAGGAGTTTTATCTCCGGTTTTCAGAAAGAGGATTGCTCCTCTTGCATTTGCTGTTTTCCAAGTGCCTTTAGCCCAAAATAATTCTTATTTTAAAGTGGCATATTTTGTCATCCTTCCCCAGCAAAATATAGTGTAAATGCTGGAGAGTGTTAGGGGTCAATTTGAGATGAATGACCACAAATTTATGGTGAAACCAGACATATCCTATGTGACTTTTCCCCAGCATTCCGCAGCTTGGCAAAGCCAGACACTGTGGAAGAGTTCATCCAGGGCTACAGTGTCACAAACAGGTGAAAGGACAGATAAGATGGATAAGGCATCATCAAGAACATTACCCAAGTGGTAGAACTGGCATCTAAATTGGAAAATAAAGGAAAGGGAAAGCTGATTGGGAAAAGGAGAGGCAGCCTCCTAGTGATCTTGATAATATTGAAGAATAGGATAATTAATTGAAAGGAATGGTAGTTTATGGTCAAGGAGCAGAATGTTTGAATTAGTTATTTTCGAATTAGACCAGATTAAGGTAATGGCCAGGTGCAGGGTTAGGATATGATGGTAGGAAAGTAGGATGGAATGGAGCAAATGAGCAATGGACATGGGGATACCAGCTGTTGAGTCTATCATCTCTGAAGCCATTGAAATTATCTGAGATGATCACCGTACTTTGAGTTGAGAAGAAAACTGTATACCTAATGCCAAAATCTTTAACAATGATAGGAAGATACCAGCAGACCAGGAGATAACATCAGAGAGGCAGATGAGGGAACTAGTAGTCTGGCGGTGGTAAAATGGACAGCAAGAAAGTCTTAGTTAGGTGCAGCGTATGAGAACAAAAGCCAGCACTGAGGAACATAGAAATGGTATCTTCAGGCAACAATTTTGCATTAAAGATTGCATTAAAGCAAGAACACTCTGAGAACATAAAGATATGTTGGCATTTGCTGATTTTGATCCATCTGTTTCAAAAGATACAGTGGAAGGTTTGGAAAGTGGAAAAGAAATGGAAGAACTGGATCACTTGCCAGAGAGTACGTTGTATCATGGAGGTAATATACTGTTGAAGGTAGCTAGAGAGGATGTGGGATTTAGGCTTTGGGATTTCCAGATGAAAACAGGTGGATTTAGTGTTGACTCCCTAAGGAGAATGGGTACTGAGACCTGGTGGCCAGATGGCATGGTTCACGCATGTAGAGAGAAATCCCCCAAGAGCTGCAGTCTAAGATCACACATGATCAGTCATTCACTTACCAGCACCTTCTGACTTTACCTTCAAATCAAGGATTCATGTATTCATCTCTTTTGAAAAATGAAGGAACCAAGGTTCAGCAAGAGTCCATGGATAGCAAACTCTAATATCAGAAAACTGTAATATCAGACTAAGGACTAGAATCTAGGTATCCTGATTCCTAGTGCTGTGTTTTCCCCTAGTTTATCTCAAGAAGATAGAAGAGGTTTTTCTCAATTGTCTACTTGCAAGAAAGCATTTTGCTTATACTTGCGTTAAGTACCTAAGAAATTAGGCTAAATAAATAGCTTTGTGCAGTGGCAGTATCTAGCCAATGAGGTTTATCTGAGGCGCGATTATTGCTAATAGAAATTAGGCTAAATAAATGGGCATTTATTTTCTGGGGGAAAAAACCCCAACTATGTTATCCTAAATCAAATAACTCCAGGATAGTGAATAAAGATTTTTTTATGTTGTAGCTGTGGTATGGTAATATCTCTCCTTAAAACAATCCCTATTGTCTAACCTAGTTAATATTTTATTCCTGAACATAAGAGTTAATGACATAAAAATAAGCATCTTTTGATTCAAGAAAACCTGTCCTTCAACTTGAAAGACTTACAACAGGGGCACCTGGATTGCTTAGTGGTTGAGCGTCTGCCTTTGGCTCAGGTCATGATCTCAGGGTTCTGGGATCGAGTCCTGCATGTCTGCTTTTCCCTCTGCCTAGGTCTCTGCTTCTGTGTGTGTGTGTCTCGTAAATAAAATCTTAAGAAGAAAAAAAAAGACAACATAAGGGTTAATTATTTACTTTACAAACCAATCAGTATTTCGTAAAAGGACTCATAAGTTGCCCATTTACATCATTAATTTATAATGGGATTTTATGTATTCATTCAGTCATTTAATAGTTTTATTTATCAAGTGCCTACTATGTGCCAGAGAATGCAGTGGTAAACTAAAAACACACATGAAGCACTGAATGAGTGAATGAATGAATGACCAACCAAACAACAGAAGTGCTTTGCAGAGAATTTAAATAGACTGATGTGATGTAGAAGGGTTAAGAGGCTGTCATTTTAAGCTGAGATCTTGTTGACAAAGTCAGGATTTTATATTTAACCTTTTTTTTTCAAAAATTTTTTAAATTTTTATTTATTTTTTTTTTATTTTATTTATGATAGTCACACACAGAGAGAGAGAGGCAGAGACACAGGCAGAGGGAGAAGCAGGCTCCATGCACCGGGAGCCTGACGTGGGATTCGATCCTGGGTCTCCAGGATCGCGCCCTGGGCCAAAGGCAGGCGCCAAACCGGTGCGCCACCCAGGGATCCCTTTTTTCAAATTTTTATTTATTTATTCATGAAAGACGCAGAGAAAGAGAGAGAAAGAGAGAGAGAGAGGAAGAGGGAGAAGCAGGCTCCATGCAGAGAGCTCGACATGGGACTTGATCCCGGGACTCCAGAACCACGTCCTGGGCAGAAGGCAGGGGCTAAACCGCTGAGCCAGGAATCCCCTATATTTAACCTTTTAAGAAACTACAAAATATTATTTCTTACCTTTAGAGCTTTCTCTAGTCTAACGTTTCAGTAACTTAAAAAGATTTGTAGCTATCTAGCTTCAGTGGATTCCTTGGAATCCATAGAGTGTGTCTCTTTTTCTAAAGTTTAATTAACTATTAGAGATGGAGGCAGTGCCATCCACTGATACAATATTCTCACAGTAAAACCTTATTAGAAGTTTCTGTGAACTTGAATGTTTTTTAGAAAGCTGAGTTCTTATGCTTGTAAGTAGCAGTGTAATAATGGAATTTCCTATTTCTTTGATAACACTTTTCCTTATAGGTAGAGATGTAATTCAGAATGCATGCCTGTTATGTAACTAGAATCTGTTGAAATAGCTTGCTAGCTCTCTATGGGATTGTTGAGGAAAGTATCATTTGTGAAAATAATCTAAGATTCATTCATATATTCCTTCTATTTGTCAAGGACTTGCTATAGTCCTTTTCAAACAACTTGCTAAATTCTGTTTCTAACCACTTTAATTTACTGTCAAAAATTATGCTGTTTTACCAGTGACTATTTTCCAGAAAATTCTGAAATTTGAGTAGTTCCTAGATTGAAATATTCTGGTTTTTATAGCTCATACAAATGAAACTTTTACTTACTATAATTTTATGCTCTTGACTAAATTAGAGCCTTATTTTTTGAATTTATAATATCCTTACACATCTCTAGTTTAAAAAGAGATGCGTAAATTTTTAGAAAGAGGATTCTATTATAATGATTCTAGTGACAAGAGATTATATATAGAAACAAAACAACTATCAGAAGTTTTTTACTTAAATTTTTTTAATTTTTATTTATTTATTATTATTTATTTATTTATTTATTTATTTATTTATTTATGATAGTCACAGAGAGAGAGAGAGAGAGGCAGAGACACAGGCAGAGGGAGAAGCAGGCTCCATGCACCAGGAGCCCGACGTGGGACTCGATCCTGGGTCTCCAGGATCGCGCCCTGGGCCAAAGGCAGGCGCCAAACCGCTGCGCCACCCAGGGATCCCCAGAAGTTTTTTACTTGTATAAGTTTCTGGTCTATTGGTACCTGTGTCTGATAATGATGTAAGTATCATATATTTTCTTCCTTTTAAAAATTTTCTTTTATTCTGTAGCATGTTTTTGGCCCAGAGGAGACTCTGCTCTCTTGAGAGTAGAGCAAAATTCCTGAAGACAATTTATTCTTCAAAAATCCTTGGACTCCCTACTTCTGCTGTAAGTATTACTTAATCACACATATAGATAAATACTGTACATATCTTGTGGTGTCAAAAAAAGATACAATTTTTCAGCTACTTTGTAAGCATTTTATTGGAATGAGTATTTCTATGATACATAAACCAGAGGCATCATTTGTCATTGCAGGAACTGACGTTCCCTGAGCTACTGCTTGCTTGTGTATGTATCAGACACCGTGCCAGGCATTGCCTATTCATTTCTCTTTTTATCTTTACAAAACTCTTAAGTTATGAATTGTTATATTCCTGTTCTACAGGTGAGACGGTGGAGGCTTAGATAGATGTAGGAACTTGCCCAAGGTTACAGCTTTTAAGTGGCATAACCAAAATACCACACTCACTCCTGTCCAGCTCTGGCACTCTCAAGGGCATGCCTTGTCTACTGGAAATAGGATATTATAATGACTATAAGGGCTGGCCTCATGACTTCCAGGTTATAGAAAATATGGCAGATTGAGGAACAGGTTCTGTGAAATCATGGGAAAGCAAACAAGTCCAAAACGTGGGTCATAACCACAGAATAGATAACCCAGTTTCTTCAACATGTCAGGGCATGGGAGAAAAGTGGAAGGGGGGATTTCAGAAGGACTACTCCAGGTTGAAAAGAGGCTTGAAAATTTCATCCACCAAATACAACATATGAACCTTGTTTAGAAACTTATATATATATATATATATATATATATATATTTTAAACATTTTATTTATTTATTCATGAGAGACACACACAGAGAGAGGCAGAGACACAGGCAGAGGGAGAAGCAGGCTCCATGCAAGGAGCCCCATATGGGACTTGATCCCAGGTCTCCAGGATCACACCCTGGGCTGAAGGCGGTGCTAAACCGCAGAACCACCTGGCCTGGCCCTTGTTTAGAGACTTGATACAATAAACTGAAACTGTAAAAAAGATATATATTAAAAAAAATTTTTTATAGAGAGCACATATACTTGAGCAGGGAGGAGGGAGCATAAGCAGGGAGGAGGGACAGAGGGGGCCAAGGAGAGAGGGGGTGGAGCCGACTCCCTGCTGAGCACAGAGCCCTGAGCAGAAATCAAGAGTCAGATGTTTAACCAACTGAGCCACCCAAGTGACCCTGTAAAAAAGATATTTTTGAAGGAATCAGAAAAATATGAATATGGATTGGGTACCAGGTGATACTGTTAATAAAACAAAATCCAACTGAGAACATTTGAAGATCTAGCTGTTTATTAAATGACTCATGAACAGGGCACCCATCCCACTCAGGATGCAGAGAAGAGCTCCAAGGAGTTGTACAGAATGGAAGGTTTTTGTAGAAGGACGGTGAAGAAAGAAAGTAATTAGCAAAGGAGAGTAATTAATTCCAGGCCAGGTAACTTTTCCCTAGCAGGAAAATCAAGGGGTCTTATGCAGATTACCTCATTTTTCTTTGGGGGGTGGGAGGGCCCACGTGGTAGATTCTTTGACACTAATTGAAAAATTCCTGACTGACTGGTTAGACTACATTTCTGAATACCTAATACATTAGGTATTAATCCCCAGTTTGGGAACTTGGTCTAAGTGACATCACTTTGGGCTTGTGATTTTGTTTTGAACAATTCTCTTGCTCTCCAAGTAACTGAGAGATGTGATCAACATTTAAGACATTAACACCATTCTCAGCTACTATTCTTAAGCTCACAGGTTTTATTTTTCCTTTTTGTGGTACCTATTGGTCATGATATTCCTGCTTAACCTCTTGATATTCACAGGTCACAACTTTCAGTTGACACTTGTTAAGTTGGTTACTTCATTCCTTAGATGGCCCATTCATTTGCTTGGTGGTTAGTGGCCACAAACATGCATTTAAAGCTTTTGAGAGAATATAATACATCAGGGGGATTATTATGATTACTATAAGGAGGATAATTAATTGCCAGTGTTTGGTATGCACTTTGGAGCCATGGTCCCAGGACCCAAACTAATCAAAATCAAGTAAGTTAAAGTCAAAGAAAGACCCCATGGAAGGAGTCATTTTTTCTGTGATTTTATGTAATTTAGTTTCAACTTCCAGATTTGCTAATCCAGGCACAGCAGGTGGCGTTGGCTTGAACACAGACACTTCCTTGTTCAGCTAAAAGAGAATCAAGAGCTGTTCTATTATCAAGGACAACTTTTGCTAGAGAGGCTCAAGATCTTTGTTGGGCAACTATCCCATTAGCAACAGATTGTGCATTATCTTCAAACGTGAGGGAGAGGTTTCTGATCACATCTTGTTTTCATGAACTCCTGACCAGAAAAGCATGGCCCTGCCAAAAGAAGCAAATCCTGAATCATGGATGCCTCCTAGTAGGTCTTTTTTATCTCGGTGGTATAGATTCAATGAGATGTTTTAGTTTGCTTATGAAAAGTTATCAGTACAATTAGATGGCTTAAGAATCATTGCCCAGCTGTGTGCCAACTAGGCATTCTTAGGCCCAAGGAGAATGATAACTGCCACAAAAACACACAACTGTTCCCTTTAGGTGCTGCTATTAATGAATTCATTCACAGGCGCTATTGCATTCACCCTCTCAAGCCTGGAGTCAGTTAGGTTTTCAGCATCTACCAGAAGAAAACCTCCTAGCTTATAAGAATGAGTTGTTATAAACACCCTGCAAAGATGGGTGTTGCTGGTGTGATGTCTTAGAGGGAGGCGCAAGTAAGCTAGATGATCAGGAGAACAAGGAGGTACAGATGTATCAAGATTTACATAAGTAGTTGTGTCTTATTGGGTGCATACCCTTACTTACTTACTTATTTATTTATTGGTGCATACCCTTATAATTGAAGAAAATAAAGGCACAGGTTGTTCTGGTTAAAAAAGTTGAAATCAATGGAATGCTTTGAAGGAGTTAATTGTAATTTGCGGTGACATTAGGAAAGAAGAGAAATTAGTCACAGGGGGACCAGGGGGTCTCTAGCATCATGGACAGATTGGAATCTTTGATGACAAACCAGCAGTCGGAAGGATTACACCCCCCACCTTAGCAATGGCCTGGGAGACACCCATGAGGGCACTATCTTTCCAGACTAATGCTGAAGGAAAAAAGAGAAAAAAAATATTTCTTGTCAAAGAATGAAGTCTTGATCCCTCCTCTTGGGCAGAAGCAGTTCACCTTGACATGAACAACTTATCTTCCCTGTCAATTTGATTTGGAGATCTCCAATGTCTGTACAGGACCAGAAGTCAGGTGAGGCTGTCTTTAGCTGTCAGGTGTTTATGCAAGACTCTGCCCTCTAGTTTTGCAACAGTGTCACTGGTCAGAAACACTTGGTAAGGTCCTTCTCAATTGGCTGTGAGCTGCTTTTTTCCCCTATCCCAGTGGTGCTTCCAAAATGCCCAGTCACCAGACTGGGCAACTCCAGACTGACCAACAGAATACTTTGAACTGGGGTCAGAGAAAGTTTCCTTAACCTGTTGATGGTAGGCTTTAGCATAAGATATTAAAGACTTACAGTAGCTGGTCTTTCTGGCATGAAGGCAGAAGGGATCATACTGGCAAGGGATCAGTAGAAAGTTGCATGCCAGTAGACTTTGTCCTACCAATGACCATTTCATATGAAGTGAGTGTATGTTTCCCTACGGTGATATTGTGAGTTATCAACAATGCTAGCAGCAGTACCTTATTAGACCAAGGGAATCCAGGAGTTTCAGGGAGTTTAGAGATTTTAAGTTGGAAAATCGCGTTAGTTCTTTCAACATTGCCAATGATTGAGGGCAGTGGGAACAGTGATAATTCCAAGATGTTTATAAGACCTTTACTAAAGCTTGTATGATCTTCCCAGTGAAATGGGTGCCTTGATCACCAGAAATTATGGAAGGTATACACCAAGTGGGAAATGTGTTTTCTAACAGTTTCTTTGCCACTGTGAGGGCATTAGCTTTGCAGCAGGGGAAAGCTTTAGCCAGCTGGAAAACATACAAATAATAACAAGAACATATTGATAACCCCAGAATGGTGGCAAATGAATGAAGTCCAGCTGCAGGTGTTCAGAAGGTCCAGAGGGTGGAGGCTTGAGGCTTCTGAGAACAAAAACAGGTTTTCCAGAACTATGGATCTGAGACATTACACATTGATGGTAAACTGGGTTGTTGTTTTTTTTTTTTACAGTCTTGTATAAGCCTTCCCACCAATGTTTATTTATAATTTGTTATTTAAAAAAAAAAAACATGGTAGGTGAAGGAATGTAAAATTCAAAAAATAGAATTTACCAAGTGGATGAGAAGAACCAAGGGACCATCTTGGGCTTCCCATATCCCTGACTGTTCATTGAGATTACAGCCATTATGTGCTCATCCTAATTTTTCTGATTCAGGAGCAGACTGTTGCCATGTTGCAAAGACATCAGGATGGCAAGCCTGGCAACAAGAGGTCATTTTTTTTTGTAGAAGCAGAATGGACCTTATCTGCATGTACCACAACCTTATGGATTCTCTTGCTGCTGACTCTGCATGAAAGTCAGCTGGAGCATTTCCCTGATAGGTTTAAGCCTTTAAGTGTATGTCTGTATTTGAGGACGCAACTTCAGAAGATAGAAGAGCACTGAGGTCACGTACTTGTCCATGTTTGATTGGGATCCTAGTGGACATGAGAAACTCCTTGTTTCCATATATTCCATACATTCCATACTCATGGACAACCCTAAAGGCATATTAGCCATTGGTATAAATGTTACCAATTGACCGCCCCCTTTTTTTTTAAGATTTTATTTATTTATTCATGACAGAGCGAGAGAGAGGTAGAGACACAGGCAGAGGGAGAAGCAGGCTCCATGCAGGGAGCCCCATGTTGGACCCGATCCCAGGACTCCAGGATCATGCCCTGGGCTGAAGGCAGATGCTCAACCACTGAGCCACCCAGGGATCCCCCAATTTGCCCTTTTGATAACCAGCACACTTTGGTGGAGTGTGGAGCTCTGCTTGTTGGGCCGATTTAGCTTGTGGGAGATTTCCCTTTCTAGGTAGTTCGTATCGG